TAGGGCAACATAATAGAAAATGTACATACATATATGTGTAAATAAATATATGCGTGGGGATATAGAGAATATATTCTTGAAGAGATATTATAATTTTGGACAAAGGTGTGCATGCAACGCAGTGAAGGAGATATCTCTGACCCTATAAAGCATATAAATATATTTTTGTTCAGGATCATCTCCAGAGTTGATATAAACATGTCCGCCTGTCTGTCTGTTTCTACGCAAACTAGTCTCTCAGTTTAACGTTTTTGTATTGTTTTAGTTTTAGGTTTTAGTTTTTGTATTGTAATAAACTGGTTATATTATGATATTTTCATAAGGATCGGCCTACTATATCCAATGTTCGCGATATATGTATGTACATATATATATACATATATATATATATGCATATATCCGCTTTGAACTTCAAGGGTATATGAACTCCGGCTCCGCCCGAAGTTACCTTTCCTTTCTTGTTATTAACTTTAAACTGTTTTATTTTTTATTATAAGCTTTAGTAGAAGCTATTTTTAACGTCCTCGAAAAAAAGGTGCTTTGGGATTGTCTTCGTCGGTTTGGAACATTCAAATCCAAAAATTTTTAAAATGTTCTTTCCAAGAATTGAACAACAATTTTTACCTAAAATATATATTATAATAAAACAAGAAAGTAAAGCCTAATTCGGGCGGAGCCGAAGCTGATACACAGTTGATATTGGACGATCCCCTTGAGAATTTCATTATAAAACCAATTTAGTTGGATAAAAAATTTAAAAAAAAAGAGTTTCAAGCTTCTAAACTGAAAAATATCATAAAAAATACCAAAGTATGATTATTTCCGATTGTTCGGCTATATGGAGCTATATGATATAGTCAATAGATCTTTATAAAATTTTGTAGATTGAATCAATTGACCGAAAATAGAATCCGTATCTCCCAATTTTTAGACTCCAAAAATACCAAAGTTTTGGCATTTCCGATCGATCAATCAATATGGCAGCAATATGATATGTGTACTGGGCCTCTCGCGGCCGTTTCTTACATGGTTCGCGTAGAAACAGACAAACGGACAAGCTTATATTAAATTAGGAGGTCATCCTGATCATATATCATATGATCATCCTGATAATATATACATGTACCTTATAGGGTGGGAAATGTACTTCACTGCGTTGCACATTTTTGACAAAAATTATAATACGCTCTTCAAGGGTTTTTTTTGAAAATTTTTTGAAAATCCTAACTGCGTATAACTCACCAAGTTTATTTGAAGACCAAGAATTTTTAATGTCTACGATTTTTGATGAATTTTCAATCCTGCGATTGACGAACTATAATTGTTTACTATTTTTATTTTAATTCAGCCTGCCATGGTCAAAAAGTAACTAATAAACAAAAAACAAACGAGGGAGCTGTAGAACATGAGAATTGTCGTTTGTTCTGCTGTCCTCATACTCAAAAATTATTACTACTTCTATGGCCACGGGAAGCAGAGTAGTAGGCACGGAAAAAGCTCGGAGCAGAGCAGAGCTTACATATATTTTTATAAATCTGTCTGCAATATAGTAGTAAATCCAAGCTCTGGTGTTGATTAACAGATATGTTTGTTCTTCATGCTTAAACGATGGGTAGGGTTTAATGTCGCCTCTTATACTGACAATTTCTCTATAATTTTTTGCAATATATTTCCATAATTTGATTTTTAATTATTTTGAATTCGAATATATTCGATGTTTTAGTTTTGGTACAAACAATGTTAAATAGAAAATAAATCCCTTTTTTTTTTTATAAATTTTGGTCTTCATCTGAATTTTTATTTTAATCTATGGTGTATCTAAGCTGGGCTTTCTATCTCCACTAGAATTTATGAATTTAATGTCTCAAATGAATCTGCAATAAAAACTGGAAGAAAGTCTTTTTTTCTTCTCTCAGGGTTAAACACATATGTATGTATATTAAACAAAAAGGGACGGCTGTAGTAAAGTTCCCGTCTATATTATACCGACTCTATTATAGAGATTTGGGCGAAATATATGTATCTACCAAATACCATTTCCGATCGTTACATCTATAAGATATAGACGGCCGATCACAATGAAATTTTGTAGATCAATTAAATCGCCAACAAATAGAATCTGTAGAAAGCTCAAACGTTTTATGTTTAAAAACACGAAAGTTGGGTTATTCCCAATATTTCAGTTATATGGCAGCTATATGATAAGCCGGCCGTTCCGAATTATATACTGCGTGCAAATAAGAGAAGGGTGAGTGCAAAGTGGTAAATGTATAGCTTCAAACCTGAAAGATAGTTTGCGTACAAACAGACAGACGGAAATGCTTATATAAACTCAGGAGGTGAACCTTATCATGAATACATATACTTAATAGGTTCAGAAATGTCTCCTTCACTGCGTTACACACTTTTGACCAAAATTATTATAGCTCTGCAAGGATATAAAAAGGCGGATATAGTCGAGTTTCCCGATTACATGCTACCCGGGAATTCATCTCTTCCACCAACAATTAAAATTTTTTTAGCATGCTTTTCTGTTTTGAAGTAGCATAAGATAAAAAAAAAGTATATTACTCCTTTACAATTGTCCGATTTCTATTAATTTTGTATATATGAACATATATATTTTCTTCACAGTATAGATTATCCATTAAAATAGTTTGCCATCAAAACTTTTTAAAAACAAGAAAGGAAAGCTAAGTTGAACAACCTTTGCAGGTAAAACCGGTTTTATATCACAAAGTCGGATATAGTTGGCCAATCCTTATGAGAATATCATAATATAACCCAATTTATTAGAATACAAAATCTAAAATAAGTCCTAAACATCTATCTTCAAAAATACCAAAGTTGGTATTTCTACCAAAAACCATTTCCGATCGTTCAGTTATATGGCAGCTATAAGATATAAGCCGATCGTTATGAAATTTGGTAGGTGGGATCAACTAAATTAAATCCGAACTCTCTTACTCCGAAGATATAGCCGGAGTTATAGCATTTCCGATCAATCAGTTATATGGCATACTATAGTTATACTATAGGATATAGTCGGCCGATCCCAGTCGTGCCGGCTTATATACTGCGTGCAAAGGAAACAAGAGTGTGTGTTAAGTTTCAAGTCGATAGCTTTAACTAGTTTGCGTAAAAACAGACAGACGGACATGCTCAAATCAACTCAGGAGGTGATCTTGATTAAGAATATACATACATATGTACGTATATACCTTTTAGGGTCGGAGGTCGGAGATGTCTCCTTTACTGCGTTGCACACTTTTAACCAAAATGATTATAAAGGGTATAAAAGGGTAATCTTAACGGGTATAAAAATCTTGAAAAATTCGAAACATACTGGAACTGTGTGGGTTATGAGTATAGAGACAATTTCTTTTTTATTTTGTACACATTAACACATGTACATTTGTACTCTCCCAGTACCGGGTATAAAAAGCCACTTGAGTTCTTGGGTATTTAACTTTAGTCGCTAAATTATAATTTATCGAACCCCTTCCATATATTCGCTCTTATACAACTGAAAATTAAAACGTAGACAACCACCTTTCACATATGTATAAAAGTATATTCACATTTGTGTTCTCACTTAAACGCACAATACCTTCTCTTATAACTAATATACATACATATGTACGTATATGTACATACAGAAGCACCGTAAGTTGGCGTTTGTAATAGTTTGGTCAATAGACGGTCAAAATACATTAATGTTATTTTTATTTTAAATTATTTTAAACATGCAAAAATACATACACAAGTTCATCGAAATATGTATAAATATATATGTACACCAAAAAATTTTAATAATTAAGATTTCTTGTTACTTTTTTATTTTAATTTCCCTACCATATACCTAACGTGAAATAAAATATTTCATTGGTTTACAATTATCGATTTTTGTATTTTTCATCGAAATTTGCGACATTATTCAAATAAAACTGGTATTGTACTGTTTGCGAAAGCTAACAAAAATTTGACCTAAAATCATAAACAATTAGTTTTAAGCTTGCGAATATGGGAAATGCGATTGGCTAACGTATTCCTTTAATTATTTAATTTTTCGGCAAATCAGCTACATAGACCTTGTTCCTTTAACATACCTTAAACATAAGAGGGTGTGGAACTTCATCTGACATTGGCAACGAATCCAAGATCCCAGCCAGTAACAACATAAACATATAGTGTGTGCTTGAAGTCAGCAATTATGTGTACTCAACAAACCCAACCACCCACGCAAGAAAGAATGTACATAATGCAAGTCCAAGCGACACCAAAGAGGAGGTAGCAGGTGCGGCATAGTATCGGTGCAGAGGAAAAACGAAGCAAAAAAAAATGAGAAGATGAGGACTCCAACAAGCGACAACCGACCAATCAAGACGCGTTTTGGTGGTTGACGTTCGCTAGTGCTTTGCTCTTCTGTTTCTGTTTCCGCTGTTTCACCTTCTCGCTTTTGCGTCGCAACAGTCTGAGATTTATCAGAGAATATGCGGGGCAATAGCTCTCTTTAGATGCCTTCGTTACTATCATCATTGTTTTTGGCCCTGCTTAATTATTCGGTCAACTTCGGGTATCAGCTTAATGTTTGCTCTTTTCCTCTCGGTTCGGTTAATTTCGGAAAAGCTCGTTTCGTTCATCGTTCTAGCTGCCCCAACCCAATACGATACCACACTACCACTCATTCAAACTGGAAACTCAGTCATTGGCTAATTAGACTCAGCTTTTAATTAACTAGAGTCTAAAGGGTGATTCGCTACTGAGTACCGGGAAATTTAATTGGTGCGTCTCTTTTGACTTTTCCTATCTACATACAAAAAACTCAACTCTGTCCAGTGGAATAGAAATTTTTGTACACGAATAATAACATTCATATGAATAAACATGTTTATATGTAAAGTATTTCTGGATGTAAACAATAACATACAAACAAAATAATTAAATCAAACAAATTCGTTTTATTTTGACGTGCAGGATTCATCTTTTAAAATACTCACCTGAAGTTTTTAGTAGCCGTCGATTCCGAAGTCAGCTGCTTGATAAGTTGGTCCTTTTTACAATTGTAAATTTTAATTATGATTTTTTTATTTTTCCGTGGGCATTGATTTGCTTACTATTACTAAGCAATGATGATTTTGTACTATTGTATGCTTTAGACTTAAATATTATAGGAACTTTTCATTCGAGCGATCGTAGTCGTGAGTGAGTTTTTACAATAGCCTGCAAAAACTAAATTTTTTTTTTCATTGAGAAAATAAGTGAACAAAATTAAAGGAAAGATAAAATAATTATAGTTTGATCAATGACAACTGAACGGAATAAAACACAAAAAAAATCGGTAAAATAATGAAAAATAGAGTTCCATTCTGTATTATTGATTTTTTTTTTATTGTACATACAGCTTTTTATTTTATAATATATATTCATTATATATATTAAATATATATACTGTATATATTAACAGAGACAGGTGATAATAACTGGTGATACTGATATTGAACAGGATGTAAAAACAGCATATGTGTATTAGGTCATGGGTTCCAAAGAAAAAGCAAAAAAATAGGGTGTATTATATGTGTACATATGTATGTAAGAGACAGGTGGCCAATGACCAGTTGATTGACCGTATCGGAAAATGTATTGTTTGCAAAAAACAAAAAAGGTTCTTAAAAACGTTGAAAATATACATTTTTAAGTCACAAATTTACATAAATTCATAACAGATAAATGACGTATTTAAAGTAAACTTCTTGTGTTCTTATACACAGTGAACTCATCTGCATGTGCGTACGTATGTATGTACATGAACCATTGCCCTGAAAAACCGAATCCGAATTTGCCCGTTAGGTATGGTGCGTATATGTGGGTAGGTTAGTGCATACTCGCATGATACGCCCAGCGATTTAATTTGCCAACTTTTTCTTCTTTATTTTGCATTTTTAATATCAACACTTTTTCTATTTGACTGCTTATATCGAAAGCGAGACAGTTGTCTCTTTTTTATACATACATTTGCACACACGCACATTTAGACATACATGAATGGTAACTCCTAATTTTAATATCCCCCAATAAAAAGCGGCAGAGAGAGATTTGCTAGCAAGAACGATAAAGACAGAAACAGAATTGAGAAAGAGAAAGACTTTTTTTGCATACACTTCTCTCGTGGACCACTAACTCATTAAGTATTCGCGAACGTGAAATATAGAGAATTCATCTACCCTTTCACCCTTTCACTGCACGCTCTTTTTAATTTTTTTTTTTTTTTTTTATTTTAATCGCGCACTCTTTGCACTTGGTGTGCTTAGGGAGATTTTGGTTGAGTTTTTTGATTGTTTTTAATACAATTTATGATGAAAAACATTAAACCGTCCAAACCTGATTTTTTTGTTATATATACGCATATGTAATTTCACTTGGTTTTATCATTATAATATAATATGTAATATAATAAGTATATAGAGTTTATGTCTGAAATACGAATAGTTCTGTTGCTAAGCAAAATCAGGGTTAGGCTTAGCTTTTATTGTCACCAATAAAACAATAATAAATGTGGATACAAGCACATTGTTACATTTTTACAATTTTTATTCGAATAGTTTGCAGTTTCAAAAAATGACTTTGGGAAGTCTGTTTTATTGTCTTTGTAGCTGAGACGTAGTTAACGAGTATTATTATTATGTTATTTTCTCCGCTTTCATTCATCACTGGGTACATTGTTCATTGTCAACCTCAGGTAGACGCGAAGCAACGAGCACTCAGATATAAAATTCTTTGCGTTATTCGGCGAATGAAATAGCACTATCCATGCAATAAAATCTGTATTTAACCGATTTACGTTACCGTTCATGTACGTAGACCGGTAATTATATATGTGGGGCATCTATTTTATTTAATCGCATAATTACGTGGGTTTATATAAAACTTCGAATCAGGCTAGGTAGATCACAATAACAGACGCGACAAAATAATTAGCGTGAACATCCCCACATGAAAAACACTGTGTATTAGAACTCAGAACTCACCATCCGACCCGCATCTGACTCATTCAACGGCTTTTTTCGACTGACTTGAGACACAGATACAGATATTTTTGCCAACCTTGTTTCACATTTTACTCGATATTTTTAAAGTGTTTCATAGCTCGTTTCTTTGCTTCGTGCCTTCGCTCCGAACATACTCGGCCTATCGAACAAGGTTCGTTTCAGTTGCGGCCGAGTAGCCGAAATAGATCCGCTATTTACCTCTCCCTCGCACGCAACGAGAAATTCGAATCCATCCCTGTTCTATCATACTGTACTATACGCAACATGTCGTGTCGAGCGATTGTCGAGCGAGTGTTACATGTTTATTTACCTCTAACGGTCATGTTACTCTCCCTCTCTTTCTGTCTTTCCTGCGCTCTCGCACATAAAAGATGCCTTCCTTACCCCTCAAAACGAACCACACAAAAAGGGGGGATATCATACATACATAGCGAGATTTTGAATTCAGAGAGTTTTTGCGAGGTAATCTAATGGGGTAATTATTTCCACGCAGAGTGGTAATTACGAAAGAGGGAGACGGAAACTGATTTGAAAAACAATGTACCAATGCGCTTTACTCTCATCAAAGAAGCTCTTTTTTTCCTTCGTAACCCCTAAGTACATAAAGTGTTCATATGTGGGTGCAGCATGAAAATCAGCATTTATAACTTGGGTATCATTGCCGTCGGGATTTGAAGAGTCGAAATTGTAGAGTTTTCGTAGGTTAAAAAGTCAGACAATGTAATATAATATATGTAGCCTATACAATGTAAAGTAGCCTGTAAAGTAATTTGAAGGGAGGCCCTTTATAAGGAGGAGAAGTTAAAGATAATCCACGATTCAATTTTTAATATTTGAACGCTTTCAGGTTTCAACACGAACTAGTGACTTAGTTTTAAAGCTATTGACTTGAAACTTTGCCCATATAATTTCTGTAAACTTTGATCTTGGCCGACTAACAAAACCTTTTAAGTATCGCCTAACTATATCCTGTAGCTTCCAGTTAACTGAAGGACCAGTTGACTGATGGTGTTAGGATTTGTATGATTTCTATTTTTGGCAAAATAACACGACATACCAAATTTCATAAGGATACTACTATCCCATAGCTCAAAACCACGAAAATTGGGTCATTTCCGATTGTTCAGTTATATAGCAGCTAAAGGATATAGTCGGCCGATATTTATGAAATTTGATATGTGGTATTATTTTGCCAAAAATCAAGCTCAAGAATATATATACTTTATAGGGTCGGAGATGTCGCCTTCACCGCGTTGCACACTTTTGACCAAAATTATAATACCCATTCCTCATAATAAGGGGTGGATATGGTAACAACTGAAGCAGTTTCTTAGGGAAACAGAATAAAATTGATAAATAGTTTGGCAGATTTTCCAAAAACTTTTTTAATCTGTCGCTTCTACAATATATATACAACAATACGCGAAAATTTTAAAACGCTATTATGGGAATATACTGAAATATAAATGTCCATAACTCCTATTAAAATAGGCCGATTTGGCAGAAGTTTGTTTTTTATCAAAATGTAAATTAGGCCACTATTTTCTGTAGTGGCACTAAAGAAAATTAAATTGGTATGCTTGGCACAAGTATATAAAATATATACATTCCATAATAAAAGTTTTTATGCAAAATCTTATACCTCTATGTCTTATACCATAGTCCTAGACGAACAGGTAGGGAACAAGTCTAAATCGACTTTTGAATATATCTATGGAGTGAGAGATGATTGTTTATGTTACATTATTAGGACATTAATAGGCCACTGAAAATGATAATATCAATTTTCTTAGAAAAAGTTGCATGCGTTTTTTTTTAATTGTTTGATCACCTGTATTTATTTAAAATATCTTACACAAAAACCTTAGCGCTCTTCATTTAAGTGTTTATTTTTAAGTACACACACGGTAATTGTAAATACATATTTGATAAGCACGAAATGTTTGGGTACTCTAAAAACAAATAAACATTTTACTGCTATTTAGTTTCTGATCACTCCCTTCTCATATATGTATCATGTGCTTTGCTAGTCTTTTCCTTTTCTAGACTTTCTTACCAAGGTGTTGTTACCCTCATGTGAACATAATTTTTTTTTTTTTTTGCGTTCCAAAAAAAGTGGAACTTAAATTGCCTGTGTATCAATTTAAGTAGCTTAAAAGCAATATACTTACTTTGAAAGTCGCTTTTATGCCTAATATTTAATGCTAAAAAAAATCCGTAATAATAATTATTCCCGATTTTTATTGTAAAAATCAAAAACAAAAATAAGTACTATCCCCTACGTTATAACGGCCACTATGAGGCCAACGACCACTTTTTGTGGCTCAATCTCATTTTTTAAAAGTCCTTAAAGTAAGGATCCAATCACGTCATTACCTTAAGATAACATCAAGCTTCAATGGTTCATATTAAAAAAAGTTAACAGACAAAGCCACTGCTAAGATATAAATTGTTAAATGTCACTGTTCTTACCGGAGAATAACACATGGTTTGACGAGCAAACTACTGGCGTTTTTTTAATTTATTTAAATGTGAACTAAAAGGATTTAAATTTGAAATATTTTAAATACAGTCAATTCAGTGGTACTTGAAGAAATTTTTTTTTTTAAGGAATTGATCGGTTTGTTATTGGATGTATATGGGTACCCCTTTCTTAATGGGACAATGTAAAACATGTAAATGGGTAATCTAAACATCTAATAGAGAAACAAAACAATTACACCTAATATTCACCCTAACAACCCTAATATTTATACTGTGTTTTAGTTGGGTACCCCTAGGGTAATTTAGTAGGGTAGCAGACCAAAAATTTATAAAACTCCTCTACAAATTTTTGAATATTAATTTGTAGGTGTAGATTACCCATTGGAAAAGTTTGGCATCAACACATTTTCAAAAAACATTAATGAACTGCCGTTATAACGAGACAGCTCTATCTATTAGATGTCTGCATGAATAGCTAAAAAACGACATTCAAATGCACAACATTGAAAATGAATTGAGTGAGGATGTAAACCGAATTGAATGAGTTAGAGTTACAGTTCGCATTCGATTTGTTTTGAATGCATTCTAGAATGTACGTAAAAGCAAGACATTGTTTTTTTAAATATTCATTATTACGTTGTACATATTTTACATATATTTTACTTATACGAATGTAAAAATATGTTCAATATTTATTAATAAATAATTTTCCAACATAATTTTTCCGCTAAAAATTTTTTTAAAATAGTTTAATTTGGAAAAACTCACAAGAAAACTAAACAAAAAACACAAAGAAAATAATAATAACAGTTAAAACCATAAGTGTAAAAGAATTAATTATACATTCGCTAAAAAAAAATTGTATTATAGTTTACCTCTCGGTAACTCTCTCATTATAAAAGAAGTATTAAATGAAGCGTTTTGCTCAACAGAAGACAATAAATGAATGCATAGAGTGTGTTAAAAACCATTCAAGACATTCGGCTGCATTCCTCATTCCAAAAGCACTCTTCTTACTTCCCACCCCAACTCACTCGGTTTCAAAGCTAGAGAATGTCCATGAGGAGAGAGCATTCTTCTTACTCTCTCACTCAATTCGTTGTGTCTCTTGCACTCATTCATTCTATTCCATTCGGATGTATTCTATGGCTGAGGCAATAAGAATGTGTTCCTGCAGACCTCTACTATACATTACAGTTTTTGAGATCCAACCGTTCATATGGACAGACGGATGGTCTAACTGTATATTCTATATATACCTTTAATTTGGAATATGATACGTATATAAAATGGCATGTGCATACTCTATATGGGTTTCGTAACAATTAAAATTTAATTTTTTACCTATGGCAAAAGCCAAGACGACCGATAAATGCAAGTACAAAAACATATGCAAGTACAAAATGTATTAAAACATAGAGATAGAACCAGGGACAACTACAATTTTTATACCCTTGCAGAGGGTATTATAATTTTTGTCAAAAGTGTGGAACGCAGTGAAGGAGACATCTCCGACCATAGGGTACTTTATATACTTTATAGAACTTTATAGAAGTATACTTTATAGAACTTTATAGAAGAAGTATATACATATACTTTATAGAAGTATATACATATATTCTTGATCAGGATCACCTCTTGAGTTGATATTAGCATGTCCGCCTGTCTGTCCGTCTGTTTGTTTCTACGCAAACTAGTCTCTCAGTTTTCAAGCTATCGTCTTGAAACTTTGCACACACCCTTCTTTCCTTTGCACGCAGTATATAAGTCGGAACGGGATCGGACGACTATATTTTATAGCTATATATACTATATATTCTATATTCTATATATAACTATATTCTATAAAGCTGGAATATAACTGAACGATCGAATGTGGTATTTAGTAAAAATAGTCTTGAAGATAGAAGTTTTGGACATTTTTTAGATTTTGTATTGTAATAAATTGGTTATATTATAATATTCTCATAAGGATCGGCCGACAATATCCGATTTTAGCGATATATATCCGGTTTTAACTGCAAGGGTATATCAACTTCGGCTCCGTCCGAAGTTTGCTTTCTTTGCTTTTCTTGTTTTTTTAAATTTAAAACAAAAAAAAAAGAAGAAAGATTTTAAATCTTGATTGATATAATTAAAATTGAAAATAAAACTTTTGTTTTATTTAATAAGAGGTAGGTAGTATATTTAATAAGCTTTGAGAGGGTGAGGGGTGTAATTATGATTCGCATTATTGTTATGATTAGTATTACCTCCTGAGTCGAAAAAAGTATGTCCTTCTGTTTGTCGGTTTCTACGCGAACTAGTCCTTTAGTTTAGAAGCTGTCTTGTGATTGAGGTTCTTCAATGACATTAAGCAGTGACTTAATGTAATGTAGAGAGACTGAGGTCCGACTAGGCATTACTAAGCTAAAGCTCTCGACAGGGCGGCATGAACTAGACGTTACGGAGCTAAAACTCTGTAAAAAAAAAACCCGTTGAAGACGAGCGGCCAAGAAAGAGACGGGTTGCGACAAACTAGGCGATTTGTACATACTTAAGCCTAATATTCAAAATTAATACTAAAAGAGCGGCTGCTTTCTGACCCGACAAAAG